CTGAAATGATGAGGTCTTGACAAAATACCAAAATCTGAGTTAGAGTGTGTGTGTGTGTGTGCGCAAATATTTAAATATAAATATATTTTATGCATAAATATATTTATATTTACATATATATATATTTACAAATATATATTCATACATGTGTATATATGCATATGTTATATATGAATATATATGCATATGTTATAAATGTATATATATGTAAATAGAAATATATACATATATAGAAATATATATATGTATTCATATATATATGCATATATATATATATATATATATATATATATATATATATATATATATGTGTGTATATATATGTATATAATATATATATATATATATATATATATATATATATATATATATATGTATATAATATATATATATATATATATATATATATATATATATATATATATATATATGTATATGTTTATTCATATATATATACATACACACATATATGTATACATATGTATGTATATATACATATATCTACATGAATATGTACACAAACACACACACATACATATGTGTATATACATATATATATGTATATATATGTATAAATATATATACACATACACATACTATATATACACACACATACACATGCTATATATACAATATATATATCCGGTATATACATAAAGGCATATATATATATCCATATGTATACACACCCACACACACATCGGAGATGTGATTACCTAACAACAATGATTACCTAACGACTACTCCCCTGGGGAAGCATCACTGGTCAGCCACCCCAGTGTAAAGACCAAGTCAACTACATGATGTCACCAATATGTCACCAAGTAGTCAAATACTGCATCGGTGATAGCAAGAATATGAGGATATATATATGCATACACACACACACACACACACACACACACACACACACACACACACACACACACACACACACACACACACACATATATATAAAGGATGTAACAACATTCTGACCCACTTGAAATAGTAATGTATTAGTACTATTCTGTATATGTATGAAATCAAATTATGAATATTGTATTCAAAATCTATGATCTCCATACAGTTTAATTAATCAGAAAGCTAGCTACATATTTACCTAAATACCTGAATATATTTCAGTTGTATGATTATTGTTGTAAGTATATTGTAGAAAAAAAAATGTATGAATAAAGAAAAACAAACAATATTAACGTTATTGTTATCACGTTTACTGAAGTCGTCATGATTATTATGACACACAATATCTATTGTTCTTTTTATCACTGTCATTACTCTTGCGATGATAATAAACCTTACACGAGTTTATTATCATCGCTCATCGTTATCATTGGCATTATTGGTGTTATGTTTATTCTCGCCATCATTATCGTCTTTTATTGTTGTCGTTACTACGGTTGTTCTCTTTACAATATTCCCATCAATTATTCTGATTATCGGTGCATCATAAACTTTACTGTTATCTTTACTGTTATTTATTACTTTCTTCGTAATGTCAATGCCTTTACCATCATATTAGAGCACATTCTGATCTGTATATTTTTTCCGATTATATTATCATATTTATTTAGTTTTTAGTCTTTACCACTGATATGCGCAAGACCAGCTGAAACAATCAGCATTTTCTTAGAATTTGGTGAGATTAGTATAACTATTATTAACACCATCGCTCTCTATCCCCAGGTCCAAGAACTAAAACTGAAGCAAGTTTCGGATCATCTTCGCCGTCTCGCTCGAACGCGCCCAGATTCGATCCGCGCAAGCTATCGAAACGAAAACAAAACGGGAAAAGAATAAAGAAAATAAAAAGAATACGCGACGATGGAGATGCTTGAGCCGCTGGTCCTACTAGCGGCACTCCTCCTGCTGGTCTTGATCATCGCCCTCACGCAGGTGGTGCTCGACGGCAACCTCTTTTTGGGTTAAAAAGGCGAAAATCGTCTCAGCACGGGGGAGAGGATTCGAAACTTCGTTGGGTTCGATGCGTGTTTGTTTTTTTCTTCAAGGACGGAGTGTGAACATCTTTCATTTTCAAGGATTTCTATTTTTTTCTTTATTATTTATGAACATTTTTAATAGTGATGGATTATGGCGCTTTATAAAGCAGAAAATATGTTGAGCAGTGTTTTATGACTGAATAAAAAAAAAGTGAACCAATAAGGACTGAACATTCTCTTTCTTGTAAATATTCTGAAATAGATTTCCAGTCGCCTCGTGTCTATACACTTCACTGGTTTACAGAAGCGTGAATATGGATACATGAAACGTGTCTGGTCGTGAAATCTAAACCGATCAGAAGCTATGAAGTGGAATGAGCGAAACGAACGCAGAGGAACTTATCTTCGTAAAGGTCTGGCGGTGAAATACCTTTCTCCTCCATGAACATGCAAACTCGTACCCGAAATATGGAAATCTTATTTCTTTTGCCGAAAATAGATTCGCCAGTATACTGAAAGGGGAACGAGGTCCGTATGGGGTCTGCTGCAAGAACGCTAAAATGAGCCGAAGCCTAGCAGCGCTCACGTGCCCGGTGCTCGTGCTGGTCGTGCTCCTGTGCGAGGCCAGGGAGATGTCCCGGGGAACCGCTGGCAGGAGATCGCAGCACCTGCGGGAAAACGAGCTTCGCAGTCAAGAGCAGGGGCTTCCCTGGTCTCACGAATACTCTCTCAACGACGGTCCTTCGCCTCTCGCCTCCTCCCCCCACGTCGTAAGGCACAGGCGGACGCAGCCGCACGCCTTCGACACTTTCCACACGCCGCCTCTTCCTTCGTCCTCGTCCTCCAACTCGCCCTTCTCCTCGTTTTCCTTCAACGCCAGCAGCAGGGAAGACTACAGTCTGGAGGAGAAATGTAGTCACGAGCAGTTCAGAGACACGGTGAAGAAGCAGAAGGATTATATCGACAACTACCTGACGCAGAGTTACAACGATTCGCGAGAAAATATTACTATCGGGTTCCTGTCTTCCTTCACTTACAACAAGGTGGGTCCGTTTGTCTTCTTCAGTTGTTTTTCTTGTGTGTTAATACGGCTACATTATGGAGTGTACTTTATGGTTCTTTTATGTTACGTCATGGGGTGTCTAATGTGATATTCTAATGAGTATGGACTTGTAAATCTTAGGAAACACTACTTGTAGATATTTTACTTTAAGATATATTACTTATGTTTACGTTATCTTAAGACATTACTTACGTTTACTTTACTTTAAGCTGCTATTTAAGGGCATTTTCACATTAGGAACTACCGTATTACTCACGGTTACGTTGTCTTACACACTACTTAGAACTACTTCGTATTAGACCATACTTACTTTACCTCAAGGCACACTCCTTAGGGTAGCATCACATTAGTACATAGCGGTATTCTTCACGGTTGTTTTACCGTAAGACTCATTACTTCCGGTTACTTGGCATCAAGATACATTACTTATGCTTACTTTGCTGTATGAAAAGCATAATCAACTACACAAAACTCCTTTACAGTGAGCATAATGATAATACACAGCTCTCGCGTTCAAAATTAGAAACGCAAAACCTTATGAAGCTTACAGATGAAGTAAAGACATCCTCACGAGAAAGGAAAACCTAAAAGTCCGAGACGTTTCGAGTAAACTGCTCTCCTCTTCAGGTAATAAAACCAAAATGGATACTTGAGTCTCCCTTCCTGCTTTTATCACTCGAAGAGAATATTAGTTCAGCTCGTAACGCTGCGAATTTTTTGTTTCCTTTGTGATTATTACTGTTGTGAATTATGTATATTTTTCATTACTTTTTTCTATTGTGATTGTGGTGCTGGTGCATATTGCATATATGAATACACAAGAATAAACACACACACGCACATACGCGGGCACGCATGTATGTATGTATGTCCATTTTAATTGCACTGGCATCTAGACCACTTTCCACAAACATTGCAGAAACAGTTAACAGAGTGTATACAATTAAGCCCCACTATAAAATAGAAAGAAAGATAAAAAAATAACGGGAAAAATGACCAAATTACCGCAGCAATGGAGGCAGCCGTGACTAAACGTTTCTCGGGAACGTTTCTCGCCAACGTTTAATGTATGCATACACGAGCACACACAATGTAACAGAACTCGACCTCCATTCCTGCCTGAAATAACTGCGCGTGAAATTCCTCGGCAAAAGCAACGGCGGGAGATTGGAGTAAATGTTGAATTGAATTAATGAACTGTATAAATTAAGATGAAGTAATTGTATTAATGTAGATGCGGGGACGAAAGTAAGCGGCGTGGTTGGATTATGATAATCAGGTTGAATTACTTTGGTTAAGATGAATGAGATTTATGCGATTTATTTATTTTAAGGATTGATAGTAATGATAATAAGAAAATGGTAAAGGATACAATACAGTATTTATAAAGATGTCTGTAGTATAGAAATATTGATAAATAATAATGATGAAAATGAAAAAAAATGTTAACACAAAACAGTAGAGATAGAAAAAAATAGAAAAAATAAACAGAAGAATATAAAAGAACGATAAATGTAAAAGAATAGATAAGTAGCTGAGATACAGATAAGGATAAGATATAAAATCATTGGAATAAGATTAGACAGAAAATTGCAAGAAATAGGAAATCATGATGATAATGACAATCAGATTATAGAAATGGTAGGTAATGCTAATAAAGATTAATCAAATATTTTGATAATAATTAATAAATTAAATGGAAAAAATGAAAATGAAAACAATGAATAAATAATATTAACAGAAAAAGAGAAATAGAGACAAGAGAGATAATAATCAATAAGAAAACTTGGTAGGGATAATACTAATGAATAATAGAATAATCTCTCTCTCTCTCTCTCTTTCTCTCCCTCTCCCTCACTTTCTCTCTCTCTCTGTCTCTCTCTCTCTCTCTCTCTTTCTCTCTCTATCTATCTATCTATCTATTGTGGCCCCTATTCCACAACATTTTATTAAATGCTCTTTAGTATCAAGACTTATTGTGTTAGATCAGTAAATGATTAAATGTACTCATTAATTATAGTGTAACGTTAACTAATAAATCAAAGTGACAATATTAATATTATCAATTAATGCAATTCAAGGTCTGAGTTAAATCTGTGTAAGAGAAATCAATACATTTATTAACTGAATATTATCAATGCAATATAATAAAATTACAATACCAAACTTTACGTGGAATGAAAAAATAGATAAGATATTAATTGTGTTCTTAACTCTTTAAATACAACTAGTTAATTAATTAATTATCATTATATAATTATCAATATATTATCAATTATATAATCATTAATCATAAAACTTGATGAAAACAAAATCAACAATATTCAAAATCACGTTATATCTTCATGAATTAAATATTATAAAACAAAACATCATTATAAAAGTAATTAATTATTCAATGTCTCAAAGCTAATGAATGGATTAGATATTACACAAAATAATCATGATCAATAGACAGGCAAATAATTAAATTATTGTAAACATGATCAGTGAATTAAATATACTAAGAGAAAAATTATCTTATGAAAAACAAATAGTTCATTATAACAAACACAAATTAAGTTGTATTTCTATGTGAATATATGAATCAAACATCAAACAAGTAAAAGTAATAATCATGACAAAAGCAAATACATGATAGAGAAAAAATCAATCTTACGCTCCGTCGGAAAATAACAGGACTCGTCACTGTCAACACACTTCTGCTGAGCTATCAACCTTAGAAAACACTTAATTATTTAAGTACACATAACTAAACTTAACTAAACTTAATTTACACTAACCTATCCATTCTCATTAACTCATTAAATGTTTATATATGACCTTGATGTCTAGTACATATATTTTGTTTTGACCATTAACTAATAGCACAATATTGCCACAGCATTAGTTAAATTTGATAATCAAGTTGTTTCATTACATGTTCATAAAAATCTTCATTTTCATCCTAATCCTAATTAAGTACCAGAATAGCCCTCCGTTGTTACTGTCTTCCATTTCTAATTCCTGTCCACTCTGTTGCATCACGAGGGTACACTAAAAATACTTCAAACGGGCTTACCGAGATCAACATGGCTACTGGACGCTACTCCGAAACCTAATCCACATTCTCCGATACTAAGCGTCCTTTTATTTTCGATATGGAGCTCATCCGGGCACGCCCTTGCTGGTTATCACTTAATTGTTTCTAATTATTGGAAAGATACCCGCATCAGGACTTTTTTATATCCCAGCACATTTTTAACATTTATCACCTCTAACATTTTCTAACATTTTCCTAGTTCATTTCTCGTTCCCAAACGGATTCACTCTGATTTTTTATTGAAATAGATTAGAACTGCTTTTTGTTTCGCACTCGTGATTTCTTTTATTTGTTGGTCTATCACGTGATATCACCCTCTGTCACATGATGATCTCGCCACTTTGAGTCATAGGGCGCTTCTGTTTTCTTCATCTATGTCTTGTCCTCTTGACCGTATTTTTTGGTATGGAATCCACTTCAAATCTACGCGATGTTATTCTATTTTGGGCGTCTTGTCCCAGCTTCTTTGTTTCACCCGTTCATGTAGCAACCGCTTCGCCCTCATGTTGTTCGCGTGATGATGACAAATCTCTATCTATATAAATACAAGTACATGAATAATATTAATAAAAATATGAAAAATCGATGACGAGGAAAATAGATAGATGATATTAACAAGAAACAAAGAAATAACAAAATACATAGAAAAAAATAAGAATAATAATCTATCAACAGCAAAAATAAATAACGAATTAGTCAAAACATCATATAGGTATCCCAATATGAAAAAAAAAAAAAAAAATTGCCATGACCTCATAAATAACTCACATGAATTATGAACCTTGCGACCCATTTCTCACGGCTGGAGTTAGTGCATGACTGAGCTTAATTAGTCCTCAGTGGGTTATTAGTGGGTCATGCAGAGTTAAAGCGGGCGGAGGGGCAAGTATAATATTTACGATGAAGTTAATCAGGTATATAATTTAGATACCTTAATATATAACAAAGTTCTGATAACAATGCGGTTGATTTTGATAGTGATCGTGTCTATAAATATGATAATAAATATTTAGGTGATAAAGATGTTTAGATTAAAGAAATAAAGACTGATAATGACTTACTGATAAGGATTCCACTGCCGATGATAACGATAAATAGCATAACGACAATAATGAGAATAATCAGAACCTTGAAGATTATGATGATCATGATAACGATGCTAATAATCAGTTCCTATTACTTCCGAAGCCGCAAGCATTAATTACTCCATTCTTTGCTTGGATTAATCATTCGGGTGTGTTATTAGGGGCTCGTCCTCAGGCAAAACTAAGGGGCTTCGTAGCTGACGGATCGATGGATGGAGGGAGGGATGGAAGGAGGGAGGGAGGGATGGGTGGATGAATGGATGGATGGAGGGAGGGAGGGAGGGAGGGAGGGATGGGTGGATGAATGGATGGATGGATGGAGGGAGGGAGGGAGGGAGGGAGGGATGGGTGGATGAATGGATGGATGGAGGGAGGGAGGGATGGAAAGAGGGAGGGAGGGATGGATGGATGGAGGGAGGGATGGAAGGAGGGAGGGAGGGATGGGTGGATGAATGGATGGATGGATGGAGGGAGGGAGGGAGGGGAAAGGGAGGGAGGGGTGGAGGGGAGAGGGAGGGAGGGGTGGAGGGGAGAGGGAGGGAGGGAGGGAGGGAGGGAGGGAGGGATGTGTGGAAGGAGGGATGGAAGGAGGGAGGGAGGGATGGGTGGATGAATGGATGGAGGGAGGGAGGGAGGGGAAAGGGAGGGTGGGGTGGAGGGGAGAGGGAGGGAGGGATGGGTGGAGGGGAGAGGGAGGGAGGGGTGGAGGGGAGAGGGAGGGAGGGAGGGAGGGAGGGAGGGAGGGGTGGAGGGGAGAGGGAGGGAGGGAGGGGAAAGGGAGGGAGGGGTGGAGGGGAGAGGGAGGGAGGGACG